AAAAGCCCACGCATTTATTTAAATTAAGGACCACGTGATCATGGTTCTATTCTGAGAGAGTGAATAAGTACCTATTTATTTAGGACGTCGTTTAGAAAATAAGTATAAAGAAAAAAAAGAAAGAAAGAAAGAAACTTTCCTTTGTTAAATTTATGTTCTGATTTCAGAACATAATATGTGGAAGTCTGCCAGATTTACTTCATGGTATCTCTAACACTACCCTAACAAAGACAATACAAGAGACTCAGAGAAGGACGCCTCCCTAGGGAATGCACACCTGGGCTGAGTGCGGACAGCCTGCTCCAGCCAGCAGGCGAGGTCGGCACGGCCCATGCCTTACTGCAATTCTGCTGTTGCTGTTTCTAATTCACCCAGTGATATAAAGTTCAGAGGTTCCAGGGGACTGGATAGTAGCACAGGAGCAAAACTTGAATCAAAATGGGAAGGTTGCGGGTGCTTGTCCAGAGACCTCCCAACTGCATTGTCACAGGAGTGCCCACCATCAGGGCTGGCTCAAGCTAGGGGTGGATCATTATTGAGATTCTACTGGGGGTGCTATATTACTAGCTCTCTCTCTCCTCGCTCTCTCTCTCTCTCTCAGGGTAAACCGAAAAAACATGGAGCCAATATGTGGCATGGTGGTTAAGGTGCTAGACTCCCACATAGCCAACTGCAGTTCAAGATGCAGACCTTGCTCCCTTTCTCTCTCTCTCTCTCTCTCTCTCTCTCTCTCTCTCTCTCTCTGTCATTCTTTGGTGAGTGCCTGAGCCCTACAGCAAGTTTAAAAAATAATAATGATAATAAATAAAATTAAATAAATAATTATTTAAACAGGAAGATAGAGTCTTGGGCCAGCACCATAGCATGGTGGTTAAACCTTGTGTATCAGGAGCTGGAACCCACGTGGCTGACCTTGGTTTGAATCCCAGCCCCAGCAGCATAAAAAACACACTAAGTACATGTGTGTGCATGCCCCAAATTCTGACAGGATGGAGAGTTGGAGGAGAAAGGACTGTGGCATGACCATGCCCCCACTGGGGGTGCCATCATGGAGCCCACTTCTTGCACAAGAACCATGGCTGCAGGGCGGCGGCCATGTCTGCACACAGACCTTGCTCTCCTGATTGCTGGGTCTCCACTGCTGCCCAGTGTCCCTGACACGGAGGCCTGGGGTCAGTTGCCATTTGTCTTCCATCATGATTGATGTGTTACTGTTCTTACAGTAAAGAAACCTCTCCCTGTGTCCTGAATCTTTCAAAGGTTGGAAAACAGAAGAAAAACCAACAAGAAAATACATAAGAAAATATATCAGAGCCTTCTTCCAGCCCAACACCCAGTGAAAAGCCAGAATTCATGTGCATCTGAGGTGGGCCCAGCCCTGATACTTTAACCAGAAAGCTTTTGCCCCAAAACTCTCCTTCTGGTCCAAAACCCAACAAAAAGCCAGAATCCATTTGCATCTGAGGTTGACCTAGCCCTGTCCCTTTAGCCAGAAAGCCTTTGCCCCAAACTCCTCCTTCCAGCCCAACACCCAGCAAAAAGTTAAATAGGGTGGTCTCTGTCTTCCTTCTGTCTCTCTCTCTCTCCCTCTCTCCCTCTCTCTTTCTCTCAAAAGTTTTCTCTCTTATATATATGTACTTTTTTTTTTAATTTGTAGGTACTGTCTCTTGTCTCTGACCTCTCCTTTCTCTTGCTAATTTCAGAATCCATGTGCATTTGATGTGGGCCTAGCTCTGCCCCTTCCTTACAGCACATTAGTGCACCACGTGGTTCTCATTTTTTTGCCTTTTTAAAAACTAAAATATTTTTCCCTTTTAATTTAATTTTATTTATTTTTTTGTCATTTTCCCTTTGTTTCCTTTCTTTAACTGACTTTCTCACCTTGCTTCTCACCTTCCACACATTGTCTGGGCAGGTCAGGTGCACAGAAGCAAAACGTCTGAATACTTTAAATCCCGCAGCTCAGCCCAGGTGACCCTATTCCCCTGAAACTGTGAGGCCCTTGTGAGATCCAGTTCCATGAACCAAAGTGCAGGTTGCTTGATGAGGATCAGGGAAACGGAACAACAGAAAAATCGCAGGCCATCTCCTTCTGCACGCCTCTAACACTCAGAATCAACTCCAAGAAGGTAGGAATAAATGTATAATCCATCACATGTCAAGAAGCCACCACCTTAAAGGTACAATAAATATGGGAAATCAAGAAAATATCTCTCCCCTTGGGGATATCTTCATCATCCACAGACAGTACAATGGAACTCATGGAAATGTCAGATAAAGAATTTAGGATACTCATAGTGACAAAGCTGACAGAGATGCAAGAGAAGAGAGACAAAAAACTCCAGGGACCAGCAGTTAGCGTAATGGCTATATTGCTGGACTGCCATATAGTCGACCGTGGTTCCCATCCTAGACGCGGTGGCTTAAAAATCTCACCAGGCGCGTGTGTGCCCAAGATCCTGAGGGGAGAACAGAGAAGGGATTGCGGCGTGGCCATCCCCCCTGGGGGGTAATTTCTCGCTTTCTGTCTCTCTGTCTCTGTCTGTCTGGCGAGCGCATGCGCCCTATAGCAAAAACCTCTCAAAAAAAAAAAAAGATGCAGGAGAAAAGAGACAATGAGTTTCAAGAGGTGAGAAAGTTCTTCCATGATATGAAAGAGGAAATACATACCATAAAGGAGAATCAAATGGAACTGTTAGAGATGAAGGCTGTAATACAGGAAATCAAAACTTCCCTTGAAGGTATTAAAAGCAGATTAGATCACACAGAAGATTGACTCTCAGATGCAGAGTTTAGAACCTCTAACCTAGAAAACTTCACCAAAAAGTCTGAGAAAATAACCAAAAAAAAAAAATGAGAATAATATATGAGCAATACTAGATACCATTAGATGCCAAGACATCTGAATAATCAGTATCTTAGAAGATAAAGAAACTAACCAGGGCATTGATAATTTATTCCATGAAATGCTGGAAGAAAACTTTCCAAACCTAGAGAGGCATTTAAACATCCAGACCCAAGAAATACCAAGGACCCCACATAGAATCATCCCAGGAAGATCTTCTGCAAGGCACATCACAGCCAGATTGACCAAAACCACAGACAAAGATACTAAAATTGGCAAGAGAAAAACATCAAGCTACTTTCAAAGAATATCCCATCAGGCTGACATGGGAACTCTCATCAGAAACAAAACAAGCAAAGAAAGAATGGAAATATATATTCAAAGCGTTAAGTGAAAAACAATTTCAACCAAAAATATTGTATCTGGGAAGATTATCTTTCATATAGAAAGAAAAGATAAAAACATTCTCAGATAAACAAAACCTGAAAGAATTGACCAACGCCAGACCAGCTCTTCAAGAAATTCTGAAGGGAGTGCTATACCAGGAAAACTAAAGTCAGACAAATAAGAGAACAAAAAATGACCAAGATAAAGGCCAACTTAATGGTAGGGACAAGTTCTGAAATATCAATAATAATGAATGCTCACGGAAAGGTCAGACCACAGTAACACTGCAAATTCAACAAAAGGGGGATTACATGAGACCGAACTGGAGAAATAGAATTCTATGACTTTTTTCTAAAACATTACTAATTTTCTTCTATGCTTTGCCTTCCAAATTTAAGGACTTTTGTTGTCTCTCGAGTTGTTGGGCTCAGCAATTTGTTAAAAAAAATATTTTTTAAAATTGAAACATAAACTTTTCTTCCTTCCTGATCCCTTTGCAATTGGAAAATATTTGTGAGCATTCTTATTTTGTGGCAGAATAGTTATTTCATAAGTTCAATAATACAATAGTATTATCTGTTGCCTTGCATCAGAAATTGAATTCTTATGGGGCCTTGTGCAAATGAACCTAATTTTATTTATTTATTTGGCAAATAAGTTAGTTTATACCTCTCTTTATTTATTTGGCAAATAAGTTAGTTTATGCCTGTCTTTAGTAAAAGGGGGAATGAAGAGAGGGAAAAAAATTGTTTCAGAAGACAATTACAGTGCACTTGTCACTAGATTCTAGCTTTGTTCATATTTTTTTTTTGAGAGGTTTTTGCTATAGGGTGCGTGCGCTCGCCAGACAGACAGACAGAGACAGAGAGACAGAAAGCGAGAAGTCATCCCCCGGGTGGATGGCCACGCCGCAACCCCTTCTCCTCCATTCTCCTCTCGGGATCTTGGGCACCGACATAGCCATTACGCTAACTGCTGGTCCCGCTTTGTTCATAATTTAAGATCTTTTGAGAATGAATAAAATGTGGAGGAAAAAAGTTTAATATGGAAGGGAGGGAGGGGAGAGGGGAAGGAAAAAGTGGGTAAAGGTATGGTTAAAGGACAAAATATGAGAACCTATTTGCTCATATCGTATAGCTGATACGAGAACCTATTTTGTTTTGACTGACATGCATGGTATTTGTATTGGAAAAGGAAATGTGTACAATAAAAATGTGATAAAACATAAATTAAAATTAATTAATTAATTATTTAAAAAGAAAGAAAGAAAACACATCAGAGACGATTGGTCATCCCTGATGACATCAGTTCATGCAGATCAGCCAGGGTTGAGAAACACCGTTCTGAAAGGAGATGTTTCATTTTTACTTTTTGTTTGTTTCTGCAGCACCTAACATACAATCTGTCAGACACAAAGGTCGATCTTATTTCATAACTATGTGTGTGGATGAACGAATTCATCCTGCCATTTTCCCTGACGCGTCTCCTTCCCCCAGGACAGGCTCCCCACCCCCACCTCTGCCATTTGACGGCCTTAAACCTCCAGCCTCACTCACCTGGGAGGACGAGAAGGAGCAGAGCTGGGGGCAGCCACATGGTCCCCTCTCCTCGTCGATGACAAGTGACCACTGCCCTTCAAGGAGCCAAACTTAGAAGTGAACACCCAAATCTGCCTGATTTTTTGAGTCTTTCATCCACTTCCTACTAAGTCAGCAGCTACTTCTCAATTTATATATTAGGAGGAAAGGGGTGTCATTCTCTAAAGGAGGTACGTCACTGTGTCTGGTGCAAGCTGTGTCGAAACTTCTGCGCATGTGCCGAGAAAAGGATCCCGGCCTGGTCAGGTTCGCTCGTGTGAGAAAGGAGCAGGTTCGAGGAGGAAGAGCCGGCACAATCCCAGGAAACAGAGGTCAGGTGCTCTGGGGATCTGCTGCCAGGAGAGGAGCACTAAGCTGACAATGGGGACTAGGAGGGACAGAGACGTACAGCCCTGGTGGGTTGTCCCTCCCCAAGGATGGCTTCTTGGAGGTCCCTGGGTCTCCCTTGTACCTGCTGGCTCTGAGTTCAGTTTCCCTGTGTTTTGTGGGCAGCTCAGTCAGAGTTAGGAGCTACAGAAGCAACGTGTTGGATGTCCCTGTCCCTCGAGGGCATGTCCCGTATGCCCTAGACCACTGACTCCTGGAACTTCTGATATGGCAGGCCCTGAATCTGTGCGGGGTGTGTCCCTGTCTCAGAGTGCAGCCAGCTGCCAGCCTCTTCTTGTCACCAGGTCCCACTAGCAAGATGTCCTTGATACAGGGCACCAGCCTGTTCTGGGCAACGTCCACATGACCCAGTTTCTTAGGATTATGCTGTGCTGCGTGGGCACAGAGGGTCCTGGGAGAGACTATGAAGGTGTACACTGTCCACACCAAGTGGACACAGCCCCTCTGTCCCTCCTTCCTGGTGGTAGTGGAGAGGAGCAGTGGTCATTCACGGCGTGCCAGCCTCTCTTCACCCACTCTGGTAATGAGCAGTCGGCCCTGACACTGTGATCTGGCCACTCCTCAGTGAGGCTTCCACCAGCCCGTGGTCATTGGTGATTCCGGGTGGCTATGAAATAGGACTGCTGCCCCTGTCCCTGTATGTCATGGAGGGTGGCCCCGATCTCCAGAATTTCTCACTGAACATGTCGTCCTTCTGGATTTGATCCTGGCCACAGGAGAGGGGCAGTTTCAAAGAATCCCACCTGGGCCTCCTGTTTTAGCTTTCAAGCCAAAAAAGTTAGTATGAGAATTGTGCCAGCCCAGCTCCATGGCTGGATCGCACATAGCTGATCCCTTGGTTTAAGTCCCAGACCTGGTGGTTGAGAAACACACCAGGCGTGTGTGCATATGTGCCTAAAGAAGGGATAAATGGAAGAGGAAGGATTGTGGCTTGACCGTTCCCCACACAGGGCGCTTTCTCCGATTCCCTCTCTCAGTCTCTCTCTCACACAAGTACACACCGTCCAGCAAAAATTATTTAAAAAAATTTTAAAACAAGGGACCAGCAGATGGTGTAATGGTTACATTGCTGGACTCCCACATAGTCGACAGTGGTTCTTGTCCTGCACCCAGCAGCTTAAACACAGGTGGGGGGCATGTATGTGCATGCCCAGAATTCTGAGAGGAGACTGGAGGAGAAGGGATTGTGGATTAGCCATCCCCCCGGGGAGTAATTTCTCACTTTCTGTCTCTCTGTTTCTCTTTGTATCTCTGGCAAGTGCACAGGCCCTATCACAGAAATCTCTAAAAAAAAAAAAAAAGAAAAAAAAAGAAAGAAAGAAAGAAAAAAAGAAAAACAGTCATTAAGAGAATTGTGCTAAATGCTAGGTTGTAACCACTTCCACTGTCTTTCCAGAAACCAGGGACCTCTCTTGTCTGTGGGATTTTTTTTTTCAGTCATTTATTTATTTATTTTTACACTTTCACGCAAACATTTACTTTATATATATAAAAAATTTTACTCATACTCCATAGTTCTTGACAGTTAATAAAAACTTTCAAATTTTCAAATAGTAAACAACTTCGAAATTTCAAAACACTACATGTTAAAGATAATGTTCAAAATATTTGTTATAATTTTGTTTGTGACTCTATAACAATAGAGACAGTATGGTTTTCAATATTTCTGAGAAAGTTGGCCCTGAGATCTTAATCTTGCCTCTTCCCATCAGAACCTGCTGCCTGCCCTGCGGTGCTCACCTTGCCATGGTGCTTTGCCATGGTGGGTCCTCCTGCCCTGTGCTTTCTGGAATTCTGTTCGATGCTCCCATCGACTCTGTGGAGCTCAGAGATGTCATAGACAGCTGCTGCTGAGCCCACCAAGGCCCTTGTCTCCCTGGTCATTGGCGTGTCCTCCAGGCTAATACTCACTTGGTGGTTTTCAGATAAAATATAGTAGCTGTATTTTAGCATGCTTAATTATTTGAAACTTTTTAAAAATAAATTATTTGGGGCCGGCAGGTGGTGCGGTGGTTAAGGGCACTAGACTCCCACATGGCCAACCATGGTTTGAGTCCCAGACCTGACGGATTACTTTCTCACTTTCCCTCCTTTCCCTCTCTGTCCTTCTCTGACCAAATTTTAAATAAATAAATAAATAAATCATCTGTTTTGGAATTTTTTAAGTTCACAGCAACACAGAGCAGGAAGTAAGAGATTTCCCACCCACTTCCCACCCTCACGGGTGCACAGACTTCCCCCTCATCGACATCCCCCAGAGCGGCGCGGTAGTTACGATGGACGCGCCCACACTGACTCTCACTGTCGCCCAAGTCCACAGTTGGCATCACGGTTTCTCTTGGCGCTGTGCGTTCCCTGGCTTAGCTGAAACCTGATGTGTGTTTCCGTGTAGAGTACCACACGGAGGGCTCAAGGCCTCAGAGTCCTCTGTGCTGCTGGGAGCCCCTGGCGCCTCCTCCACACTTCGCCATGGCCATCCTGGCACCTCTCTGTCATTTGCTGCAATCTTTCTTGCTTGCAGGCTTCCCTGAGCCCTCCGGGCAGTGCCCAAGTGCCCATCCCCGGTTTTGCAGGTGCCAAGGCCCCTGCTTGTATCAGCACTACTGCATTCAAACACTACAGTAGTAGCAGGAATTTTTCTTCTAATTCGATTCTACCCTCCATTGGAACAAAACAGGACAAGTCAATCATTAGCCCTGTGCCTAGGAGCTATCACCACCCTATTTACAGCTATCTGTGCACTAACATAAAACAACGTTAAAACAATTGTAGCATTCTCTACCTCTAGCCAACTGGGCCTAATAATAGTAACAACTGGAATTAACCGACCCCGTTCAGCCTTCCTACACATCTGCACACACGCATTCTTCAAAGCACTGCTATTTATATGCCCCGGCTCCATCATTCACAGCCTCAATGATGAGCAAGACGTCCGTAAACTAGGAGGACTATATAAAAGCTTACCATTCACCTCATCAGCCCTAATAATTGGCAGCCTAGCCCTGACAGGCATACCAGTTCTAACAGGGTTCTACTCTAAAGACCTAATCACTGAAGCAGCAAACACCTCATACATCGTCGCCTGAGCCCTCCTCACCACTCTCATCGCCACGTCCCTCGCGGCCACCTACAGCACACGAATGACCCTCTATGCTCTCATAGGTCAACCGCGCTACCCATCAAGTATTACCATCAACGAAAACAGCCCACTTCTAATTAACTCAGTTAAACGTCTCGCAATAGGAAGCATCTTGGCAAGATTCCTAATCTCCAATAATATTATACCAATAACTACCCCCCGAATAACAATGCCCCTGTATCTAAAACTCACTGCCTTATTTGTAACCATCATAGGATTCTCCATCGCCATAGAACTAAACCTAATTACTCTCAACTTAAAACACAACCATCCATCACCATTTTACAAATTCTCAACTATACAAGGTTACTACCCAATAGTCATCCACCGCCTGATCCCACATACAAGCTTAAAAATAAGCCGAAACCTGTCATCAATATTTCTAGATATAACATGACTAGAAATAGCCCTACCAAAATCCATTTCTAACATACAACTTGCAGCCTCACCTAAAATTTCTAATAAAACAAGACAAATCAAGCCTCCTATCCTTTCCCACCTCCCTAATTCCAGCACTATCTGTAGTAATCTAACCCCACACATAATTTCAATTACAATAAAAATACTAATAAACAAAGTCCACCCTGTTACAACTACTAATCAGTGACCATAATCATAAAGAGACACCACTCCCAATGAGTCTTCATGGAAATAACCCGAATTACTATTATCAAATAACATTCGAACCTCCAAGCCCTTTAAACTAACAACAAAATTGGCATCACACCCAACTATTCACACAACAACGACTAACTCTACAGCAGTACCCAACAGCAAGCTGCCTCAAATAACAACATTAGATCCCCGGATCTCAGGGTATTCCTCTGTAGCCATGGCAGTCGTATAGCCAAATACTACTAATATTCCCCCTAAAAAAAAAAAAAAAAAAAAAAAAAACTTTTAAACCCAAAAAACAACCCACCCCAAGAATGAATCTCCCTGACCTACAACAATACCACAACCAAGTCCACCATTCACAATCAACCCAAACCTGCCATAAATAGGAGAGCGTTTTGAAGAAAACCCCACAAAGCCAATAACAAATAATACACTAAGCATAGATAGAACATATGGCGTAATTCTCACATGGAGTCTAACCATGGCCTACAGCATGAAAAGCCGCCATTGTTATTCAACTACAAGAACCTAATGACCAACATACGAAAAAACTACCCACTACTAAAGATTATTAACCACTCGTTTATTGACCTTCCGGCCCCTTCAAATGTCTCATCTTGATGGAATTTTGGTTCATTATTAGGAATCTGCCTAATCCTGCAAATCATTACAGGCCTATTCCTAGCTGTGCACTACACCGCAGACACTACCACAGCCTTCTCCTCAGTCACACATATTTGCCGAGACGTAAATTATGCATGAGTCATCTGCTACCTTCACGCTGATGGTGCATCAATATATTTTGTCTGCCTATTCCTGCGTGTAGGCTGAGGCCTATACTATGGTTCATACACCTTCCTTGAAACCTGAAACATTGGAGTAATTCTCCTATTTGCTGTCATAGCAACAGCGTTCATGGGCTACATTCTCCCCTAAGGACAAATATTCTGAGGAGCAACAGTTATCGCCAACCTCCTCTCAGCCATCCCATACATTGGCAAAGACCTTGTAGAATGAATGTGAGGGGGATTTTCAGTAGACAAAGCTACTCTAACTTGATTCTTCATCTTCCATTTCATCTTACCCTTCATTATTACCTCACTAGTAATTGTACACCTACTCTTCCTTCATGAAACAGGATCTAATAACCCATCAGGAATCGACTCAGATGCAGACAGAATCCCATTCCACCCATACTTTACAAACAAAGACATCCTAGGAGTGGTTTTCTTATTATCCAGCCTAGTGTTATTCACCCCCAATCTCCCTGGAGACCCAGACAACTACACACCAGCGAATCCACTGACCTCTCCACTTCACATCAAACCAGAAGGGTACTTCCTATTCACATATGCAATTCTACGATCAATCCCTAATAAACTAGGAGGGGTTTTAGCCCTAGTAATATCAATTCTAATTTTAGCCTTTGTTCCATTCCTCCACACCTCCAAGCAACGCAGCCTAATATTCCGACCAATTAGTCAATGCCTGTTCTGAATCCTAGCCGCCGACCTACTCACACTAACATGAATTGGGGGCCAACCAGTAGAACACCCCTTCATTATTATTGGTCAAGTAGCCTCTGTCCCATATTTCACCGTCATTATTGTCCTCATGCCCCTAGCAAGCGCCTTAGAGGACTACCTTTTAAAATGATAACCCGTGTAATATACACAATATACTGGTCTTGTAAACCAGAAACCGAGAAAATTCTCCACCGGGCACTCAAGGAAGAAGAAGAATACTCCACCATCAGCACCCAAAGCTGGTGCTCTAATTAAACTATTCCTCGTGAATACTAATCATTTAAATCAACTGCCTCCTCAGTAACTCCAATGCAACAATTTTTTTATGCCCCCTATGTACTTTGTGCATATCTGCTCTTCCACATTATAAATGATATAGTACATTAATGAATTACAGTACATAGTACATACATGTATAATCATGCATTCAATTATCACCATGCTTATAAGCATGCACATATAAAGCAGACATGCATAATACATCACTTAGTTAGTCAACATAACTGTAATACAACATGGATATCAAGCAGGTGTTATATCTTAATCTTACATAGTACATACTATTATTGATCCTACATAGCACATACGTTCTCGAAATATCTCTGATTACACGCATATCATAACCTAATGATGTCCTTCGATTTGACTACCTCCATGAAATCATCAACCTGCCTAATTTGGGTCCTTCTTCTCGCTCTGGGCCCATGAAACTTGGGGGTTTCTAGAGTGAAACTGTAACTGACATCTGGTCCTTACTTCGGGGCCGTTGATGGAAGATCGCCCACACTTTCCTCTTAAATGAGACATCTCGATGGATTCGTGACTAGTCAGCCCATGCCTAACATAACAGTGGTGTCATGCATTTGGTATTTTTTAAAATTCAGGGATGGTATCATTCACCGGGGCCGGGAGCCTTGTTCCAGGCAAATTGATTGTAGCTAGACTTAAATGGAATATTCTTTAACCTCATATAAACCACAGGGTGTTATTTTTCCATGCTTGTTGGACATAACAAATCAGTACAGACCCAAACACAATCTCATGTACACGTACATGTATGCACACAATACATGTACACATATGCACGCACGTACACATACACACACGTATGTCTCACTATAACACTAAACATACTTTGATTTTTTTTCCACAAACCTCTCCTGCCCCCATCTTTTTTTTTAAAAGAATTATTTATTTAATTTTATTTATTCATTCATTCATTTTAACTTGACCAGAGAGAGACACAGAGAGAAAGAGACAGAGGGAAAGTGAGACAGCAAGCCACCAGGTCCAGGACTCGAACCGTGGTCAACCATGTGGGAGTGTCCAGCGCCTTAACCACCATGCCACCTGCTGGTCCCCCTGCCCCCCCATCTTAAACCATTAATAACTGTAAGACTGAAACTCTTGCCAAACCCCCAAAACAAGAAATCTTATAGCACCATAGTTAAGTTTTAACCAATTATAAATTCAACTAGAAATGGCTTTTAGCCAAAGTTATAACAAACACAATTTTTAAAAAGTGTATTTTTTAAAAAAGTCCAGGCTTAGTGAACTAGAAGTTTTTCGTTGTATCTATTAGTTTTCTAAATGTTGTCACAATTCTGACAGAGCACTTAAATCAAAACAAAAATGTTTTGAGAAGAAAATCGTAAGTAAATCAATAAAGTTCACGTAGCTTATAAATGAAAGCGAGGCACTGAAATGAAGATGCCCGAAGAGGCTCCGCGGAGGGCAGCAAGGTCCTGCATTGCGCCTGCGCCATCTGAGACGGGCTCGTCTTCGACGGGGGAGCCGTTATTTCTAGTAAGTGACCCGCGCCCGTCTGCAGAAGATCCAGGCGATGGGAGGCTCAGGCCCCAGTAATTGGCAGCCATCCCAGTCCAGGTCTCCAGGTCTCATTTTTCCTTATCAGCACCCTGACTGTCCTAAAACACTTGATGATGCTAAGAACTGACCTTCAGACCCCAGACTTTAGGAGCTGTGGGGAAGGTCACTGTCTGGGGCACGGGCTGGCCACCGGCTGGCACACAGGTCATGGGAACAGCACCGCAGAGGCGTTGAGGGCTGAACTGACCCTCCATGCTAGCTGGAACCTGCCTTTCCTGGTCACCTGCCTACAGTGGACGTTCAGGAAGTAGCTCTTTCTTCCTTGAAGAGCAGACAGACCAGGCCACTCACGGCCTGGTGTTAGGGCAGCCAGAGCTCACATAGCTGACCACATGGTTTCAGTCTCAGACAGTGGCCCGAAAAACACACCAGGCATGTGCGTGTGCATGTGCATGTGCCCGTGTCCAAAATCACAAATGGAGGGAGAGAGAGGATCAAAGCGTGGCCATTCCCCATGGTGGGTGCTTTCTCCTTGCCTTCTCTTCCTGTCTCTCTGTCTCTCTGTGACAAGCTCATGCACCCTCTAGCAAAAAAGAAAAAATAGACCTGTTTTAGAGGGATGGTGGCGAGGAATTTCACTTGGAGCACATCCGAGCTGCTAAGAGGTGACTGACTCTCTGAAAAGGGCATTTGTCCTTGGGAGTGACAGTCCAGCATGGAATCTGGAGGTCCAGTGGTTAGATGTGTGGGTGATCGTTTGTATGGAGGTGACCTCAGAGTGTGCACTGGGATGTCCCCAGAGAGCGAGTCCCTGAGAGAAGGGCATTGGGGCAGACCCCAGGAGATGCCGAGAGGGAGAGCGAAGTCAAGAAGGGGCTGCAGTAGAGAAGAGAGGGGCGGGAGATGGAGCAGAGACAGGGCCGGGAGGGGCGGGAAGGCAGGGGCAGAGAGTCATTGAGAGATACGCAAAGAGAAGGGAGGAAGCAAGGAAGACAACTTCTCCCTCAGAATCCCCACGTGGGGCCCCTGCCCCAGAGTGACTCAGGACCCCTGAGGGAGTCATCGGAGCCAGGTTCAGGACACGATGGCTGGCCAGAGATTTGAACAGATTCCTGGTGTGGGTGTGGGCAGTTTCTCTAGTGAGGCTGGGGGTGGTTCCTGCCACCGTGTTCTTCCCCACGTCCTTCCACCCAGGCCCAGCCCAGGAGGAGCTCTCCTCGCCAGCCTCGCTGCACCCCTGCCCTGTCCTGCTGGCAAGCACCTCCCTGGCTCCTCACTCACACCTGCTGGTGGGACCCTGGCTAGGCCTGGCCCTTGGCTTCCCCAGATCATTGAAGACACACCATCACCCAGACACACACTCCCAAAGAGTGACAACACTCTTGTTCTCAGCCATGAGATTAGGAAGTTGCTACATAAAATAAATAAATAAATAACAATAAAGGAAGTAGATGAGAGAAACTGAAAAATAATGACTCAGGCCAATAGAAAGCAGGTGGCCTCTGGACTCAGCCGGCACGTCCTGGAGGGCGGTCTGTCCTTGGGGGAAGGAGACGTGGCCGGGAAAATGGCAGGGCCAGTTCATTCTTCCGTGCACTTAGTCATCGGGATGGAAGGGGACAGGGAGAGGGGGAGAGCAGGATGGAGGGAGGAAGAGAGGGATGGGTTTTCTGCATTAGGTGTTGGGGAAAGAAATAAAAATAAATAACATACATAGTGTCTGTTTTCTAGGATACTAATTCTCAACCCTGGCAGATAAATAAGCAGAAGATATCTAGAGAGATAGCAGATGACAGATGGATGGATGGACAGACAGACACGCATGCGTACGTATCAGTAGATATATCTAAATATACAGACATAAGACATGAATCCCTGAGGAACTTTGTGGAAGAACCCGCTCTGACCTGCTCTGCCGTGTCGGGCAGGGAGCCCTGGTGGTCTGCATGGTTCAAAGCCTTCCCAGCTGGTCTCGACCATGAAACGAGAGGACGACCTTCCTCTGTGAGCTCCGAGTATGGGGGGAACGGTAGCCAGAGGAGGGCACAGCTCGCCGGCTGTCGTCAGCCCCACACCCAGGCCTGCCTGAGCTGCTCTGAAACCCCAAAAGCCAAAATGGCATCACAGGTCATAAGTGCAACAGTGAGTAGGGACAGAACAGCACCCCAGAGACGGCTGAGCTGACCTCGGGCAACGAGTCCCCAAGCAAAGGTCTGGGGACACAGCAAAGCATGGCATGTAGGTGAGCGAGCATATGTGTCCACGTGAGTGTGTGAGCGTCCAATGTGCCCGTGAATGTTGCCATGAGTGTGAGTGTGTGTGATTCTGGGTGCATCTAGTTTTGTGCAACGTCGTCACAGGTAAAGGTGTAGGGGTGCAGACATCAGTGCACGTGGGCAGGAGGCCAAGCTGTCTGCCTGGCCAACTCTGCGATTCTGAAATAAGCCTGTGGCTGCAGCGTGGACCATGGGCTGGTGGGGAAGGTAGCGCTGCCTCGGGGCCAGGGCGAGCATCTCTAAAATGAGGGTGAGCAGTTGGTGGTTGGTTGGGTGTGGGGTGAGCAGAGGACCCTGCACGGGGTAGTTAGGGCCCTGCAGAGAATATGGCAGGAGAGGTGAGGACAAAAGAAACACGTCAGGAGCAGGAGGTGCGGGGCTGTGAGAGAAGCTCGGCCCAGGCCAGGCTCCTGACAGTGCTCCAGGAGTTCCTGGCGCCCTGGGTGGTGGGTCGAAGAAGGAGCTGTCTAGCAGATGTCTGTTTTCAGGCTATTTCTCCACCTGTGCTGGGCAGGTGAGTGGCCAAAGGGGCTCCCTGACCACATGTACCTGTGAAAGGGTGGACAGGTGTCCTGCAAGAGCTTTGTCCAAATCATAGGCTCAGGGCAGAAGACAAGAGCAAGTGCCCCCAGGAGGAGCAGAGAAATCGTCATCATGTGACCAAGGAGGAGTCCGGGGTGGGCGACACTGACACCTCCTGGTGTGGGACTGAGTGAGTCGGGCCTGACCATGGAGAATCAGGGCCAGGGCTGGTTTACCCAGGTAAGGACTCTTTTCTGCACTCTGACCCCGCCCCCACTGACCCCTCGGGGACTCAGGACTTTTCCTCGCTCTTCCCTGAGGGATGGAGAGGAGTCTTGAAATATGCCCAAGGCCACACGTGTGCCTGTGCATGTGTGTGTGCTTGAGTGCACCTGTGCACGTGCACACGTGCTGCCTGTGTCTGTGCTCGTGCATCGGTATACATGTGTGCACACACAGGCCTGCATGGGATCTACGTGTGCCTCTGTGTGCACGCACCTGTGCATGTCCCCTGCACACACTGGAGAGTACACACGCAGAGGCTGGAAGGACTGGAGGGAAGAGCATGCCTGGCCTCCCTGGGTGTCAGTCCATCTTAGCAGAGGAGCTGAGCAGGACTGGCCCAGCTGGGGCAGGCTCAGCTCAGGGCAGGACAGAGGCAGGGCCTCCCCTCAGGGTCATGTGGGATACCCCGTCCACCTGCAGAGCGGACCCAGCCTGATGGGGGACCTGTCACGGGAGCAGGGAGGGGCTCCTAGGAACCTGCACTCCCAGTGGCCTTGGCTCCATGGCCCACCCCGGCACCATCTCACGTCGCTGCAGAGCAGGGGCACAGAGCCTGCCTCAGTCAAGGCAGAGACTCAGCCGATGGCTGGCTGGCCCTGAATTAGAACCTCAAGATGCCCGACTTTTCACTTTTTATTTATGTATTGATTTTGCCGTAGGACACACGTACTCACCAGAGAGAGACTGTAAGAGGGAAAGTGAGAAAGTAGCCCCCACTGCAGATGATCACACTGGATTCCCTTCTCTGACCTTCTCCTCGTGGGATTTTGAACACACACGTGCATAGACTCAGCTTGATTTTCAAGCTGCGGGATCCAGGACTTGAACTGCAGTCAACCACGTGGGAATCCAGCACCTTAACCACCACACCACCTGCTGGCCCCACTGCACACGGTTCATATGTGCATGGCTATGTCAAGCAAGACCCTGCTACCCCAAACCCCTTCCTGGGGGAATGATGGTGTTTCTCTATAAACAAGGCAATGTCAGCACAAGAGAAGACAGATACGGCTGACCTGTGGTGTGGAGATGAAGCTTCATAGCCCCGGGGCCAGGGCTGGTGTGTGGAGCAGGTCCCTCGGCACCAAGCTCTGTGGCTGACCTGTGGTGCGGAGATGAAGCGTCATAGCCCCGGGGCCAGGGCTGGGGTGTGGAGCAGGTCCCTCGGCACCAAGCTCTGTTCCGTGTTTAGCTCCAATCATGTCAGATCCGAGCAAACCTGTAACAACAGCTGCATCGAAGACCCTGGCTTCCTGGCAGTCCTCCACTCAGAGCGCCACCAGCGGCCGGCCCTGGATCTTACCAGCCTATCACCAGGGGAGCAGATGGGGCCCAGACCTTCCCCACTGCCACCCCAGGGGCTCTCCCAGGCTCCCAACACCCCATTTTATTACCTGCCAGGATGGGAGGTCAGAAGTCTGAAAGGTGCTGGCCTTGACAGAAATCAAGGCCCTGGCAGGGCTGCCTCCCTCTGGAGGCTCCATGGAGGACCTGTTCTCTCACCTGTTCCAGCTTTTAGAGGCTGCTCACGGCCTCCTCCATCTTTGAAGGCAGCAACAGCTGGTCCAGCCTTTCTCACATTACATCTCTCTGGCCTGGACTCTCCTGTCTCCCTCTTTTTTCATTTGAGGATGCTTATGACTGCATAGGCCCATCCCATAACCCAGGATCACCTCCCCTGGTTAGCTGGTTAGCAGCCTTCAGTCCATCTGCTGCCCTCACTCACTTGTCATGATGTCATAGGTTCTGAGAGTTAGGACATCTTGGTGTGTGTGTGTGGGGGGGCATTCACCCGAAGCCCACCCCTCCAAGGCATCAGGAAGCTCTTTCCTGCCCCAGCTTAATCCTGTTGCTGCCTGGTTCCTCCAGGCTCCTTCCACGTCCAGGGCCAAGGTCCATCTCGCTTGGGCCCTGCCTCTCCTGCCCTTCTCCATTCAACTCCCCTCCTCCCAAAGGTTCTTGTTCCCAGTGGCCACTGGGCACCGGGTGGTGTATCTTAGGGTAGTTCAAATGAGGCAAGACACTCGGGAGGTCTCAGAGACCTGGCTATGTCTTGCTCACTGCTGTGTGGAGAGCAGTTGATTTGCTAGGTCAAAAGGGCCAGCACAGCTGGACTCACTTGGGTGAGGATCTACGCTCAACTCCTGCAGAAAGCATGAGGCCCAGCGCCAGCCACAGATCTCTGGCAAGAGCACGGGGCAGGTGAGAAGGGGCAGGGCACATGTCTGTACAAGGCTTGAGGGGGAGGCGTCTGGCTGTCACGCCTGGAGTCCGAGGGGTACAACACTCTTGGTGCCAACTCCAGAAATGGTTCCACACTGCAGAGGGAGGTCCTGGTAGCAGGAACCCCCACATCGGCTGTCAAGAGACCCATGCTCAGCATCCCTGCCATTGCATTTGTTCGGGGGTTACAGCCAGGTGCATGGACGTGCAGCCGGCAGGGTCAGACGGACCTGGGTCTAACCTTGCAAATGCCACTTACAAATGGGGTGACTGTGGACAACTTCCTTCACCTCTCTGAACCTCAGTTTTTGTACCCTAATTGAGCTCATAATGTTTATCATGAAAATTAAATTTTTAAGAAGTATATGAAGTTCTGAGGTCATCCTAGGATAGAGTTAGAAGTCCAGGTTGTTAATGCAGGTTGAGCATCCCTAATGTGAAAACCAGAAATCCAAAATGTTCCATAATCCAAAGCACCGATGTGACACAACCAGTGGAACATTCCACATTTGCACGGCATGTGACAGGTCACAGTCAAATGTTGCAATACAAAAATACTGTATAAAATTACCTGCAGGTTATGTGGATAAGGTATATATGAAACAAGTACATTTTGTGTTTAGACTTGAACCCCATCCCCTAGATATCTTACACATATCAAACATTCCAAAATGCAGCAGAATTTTGAAATCTGAAACACTTTTGGTCCCAAGCATTTCAGATAAGGAGCATTCAGCCTATAGCACCCTTTGAAAAAACTCTGCCATGGGATTAAAAGTAGAATAAAACAAGCCCAGGGATGGGGGCTAAGAGGAAGCTGGAGGGCTGGGTTTCCTCTCCAGGCATCAAAGTCCGATCTTTCCTGGGCATGGTCTAACGAAGACCTTTATTTATAACCCAGACACTGAAAGTCCTCAGGAACAGTTTTGGGAAGTGGGTGAGGGTGATATGGATTCTGTTCTGCCTCTGTAACCTGCTTGCAAGACAGGATGTGTCTAACCAAATGCTGTTCTGCTTCTGTAAGCTGCTTGCAAAACAGATTTGGTCTCTATAGGACGTGGTGATGTGGTTTTTGAACTAGAGAAGGTTCCAAGAACTAAGAGAAGGAGTTGTTTAGCAACCTTTCTCCAATGGTTTCTTTCCCGCAACACCTGTAACTTCTAACCAATGTGCCTGCTCTTCCCCAAACCAGAAACCAATATAACCTCCTACCCCTCCCCAAGTCAGCTCCCAGATCTTGGAGTCTGAACTTTTCTGGGTCCGTTGGCATAGTAAACCTGAGTTCTACTCTCTGAGCAGCGTTCAGTCTCTCAGCAGTCTGTTTCCGCAGTATCTCTGGTTCTCTGACCAGGAAGCCAACCGTGCAGGCCCTTTGAGCCACCAGGTCAGCCAAGAGATCTGCTGAGATGGAAGGACCCAGAGTAGAATGAGGTGGAGCCCCCTGCTCTTTTCTTGGGTCCTTTTTCATCAAGGGCCCTGACATCCCACGGTAACCAACTCCAACTGGACTCAAAAGAGAGATGACCAACTCAATGACTGGAGCTTAAGACAAGGTAAGGTCCTGGGACCCGAATCCCAGCTGGATCTGTCCCGTGTGTAGAGAAGGGGAGATTGATCACCTCCCATGGTTTCTGAGCAGAGAGCATCAGGACTCCCACGGTCTCTGAATAGAGACCATCGGTCATGAACCTCCCGAGGGGGAAGGGGAAGATACTGTGATGAATCACAGAATGTCTGTGTGTGAGTGTGCCAGTGTTTGTGGCCCCGTGGTCCTCGGACTGTGGGGTCTGAGTGGGTCCTCACCTGCGGTTTTGTGGTTACCTCATATGGCTCAGAGCAATGCTCGCTGCTGGGTAACCCAATCCGTCCCTGCATGTTGAGTCCAGGTTGGGAATTAATTCTGACTGGCCGAAGCTAAGAGGCACCCTACCTACAGTTCCCACGAGGGATGCAGCCAGGCAGGCGTCTGAGTGGTTACCGCTTTGAAGGGACACCCAACCTGTGTCTGTCTTGCATCGACATTGCAGGGAGGGGATCACTGGGAGGGAGGATGTTTCTGTGTGTCCAAAAGACTCTTGTGCCCCTAAGCTGTCAAATTGGCCTTCTTCGAGGTCATTTCTGATTTGTTTCTGGCCCAAAAAGACTGAGAACACTTTGTCTGTCAACCTTTGTCTGCCAAACCCCCTTTTGTCAAAAACGGGGGACTCAGCTTGTCTCAGGAATCTTTCTTCCTTGGTTAAGGGAGAGTGAGGAGCCTCTCCTCCTGTGCCATCTCTTCTGTCACATACCAACCTTCCTTTGGGGCTCTTCTTATGGATTCGGAGGAGTGGAGAGAGTTTTCTGTCCAAGGACTTTGAACCTTCTCTACAGTCTAGACCCCGCTCGAAGCATCATCGGTCCCCACTCCTCCCTCTCTGCCAGATCCTACTCATGCACGTCTGCTGGACATCCAGCCCCAACCAACTTGGACGGATTATTGCTCTTGTCATAAAACATATGCGAGCCAGGAGGGCCTGGCAACCTTACAGGCTTTAGCTTTGAAGGCCTGCTTCCACCTGTGGATTGAGAGGGCCTTTCGGGAATATTACACTTACAAGGAGTGGAAATATCAGAGATATTTTGGCTCTAAGAACTCTAACAGGCAATGGTATAGGTGACAAAAAGTCAAAACTCACCATCCTTGACTGTATGACTAAAAATTTTAAGAAAAAAGAAAATTATGCATTTCTGTGGAAAGTATGCTGTCAAAGTAACCCCAGGAAAATCGACCCTTATACTCTTAACATGTTATGTCTCTAAGGAAATTCACAAAGAAGATGTACTTTCATAAGTAAAAGTTCCTGAGAATCTAATCATTTAACTGGGTAAAGTTTTCCATTTTCTATAAGAAACTGATTGGTTTTCTGAACTGCTAGGCCAATCTTAAGCAGAACTGGAATTAAACAAAAGCAGGAGATGTCTGGCAGCCAATTCAATGCGCCTGAATTAAAGGGGTGAAACTGGCGCTAAAGAACGTAAATCCAATGGTAAGCGTGGACTCATGGGGGCCCCCCCGCCTGGTCCCTCCTGAGTCCTCCTTTTAGTTCTCATGATTAAGTTCACATGTTTTGATTCTTCTTTTCTTAGTCCTTTAGATTTTATAGGAATGAAAGATATCAAGTTGGTCTATTGATGGGATTGTTCAGTTCTTGGTTGGGAAATTTGTTAAACCAGTTTTTTGTTGTCATTTGTTTGCACATGCTCACAAGCTACTGATAAATGCTAAAAGGAAAAATTCTAATCAATAGGAAATATGTAATTCTATACATACATATAAGTTTACAAGCTTGATAGCTCCTCCCAGGAGATATTAAATCCCCCAAGGTGAGGGACAGGCATTCAGGTAGCCCTATGGTAAAGATACCAGAACTGGGGCCAGGAGGTGGCTGGGTGGTTAAAGGTGTTGGACTCCTACATGGCTGACCATGGTTTGAGTCCCAGCTCTGGCAGCTTTCTCTCTCTCTCTCTCCCCACCCACTTTAGTCAAATTTAAATAAATAAATAAATAAATAAAGTTAAATAAAATAATTCTTTAAAAAAATGATACCAGAACTGGCTTTGGAGGGTATCCAAAATTAAATTTAACAAGTATGTGAGCAAGTTTCATGGAGAAAAGCATGTAATGTTATCAGAATACATTTGATAACTGTAAAAAAGTCACATGAGTACATACCATATTTATGGATAGAAAAATGATCATGAAGGCAACTTTGACACTTGTACACTCATAGTCTCCATGTAGTCTTTTGGGTTTTGTTTGTTTGTTTGCTTGCTTTTCAGAAACTGGAATGGCTCATTCTAAAATTTATATGGAGGAGAAAAGGGTCAATGTTTTTTAAAACATCGCTGATATCGGAGCAGTGTATGGTGACATGCCCTACCAGACATCAAGACTTTCTAATGAAGCTATAGTAGTTAAACACTGCTCTTCCGGTGTACAGATAAGCAGTTAGACAAGTTAAGGAGAACAGAGATTCAGAAAAAGACACAAGCTTTTACAGGACTCACATCACAGGACTCACATCACAGATTACTGAGGGAAATGTGGGTAACGCCTATCCAAGTGGGAGAAAGGAAAACGAGTTGCTATCTCAGACTCTGCAGAAAAAGCAATGAAAAGGGTTCAAGGACTTATTTGTGAAAGAAAAAAATATTAAACTCTTATAAGAAAATGTAGGACAGTGTTTAAAAAGTTTTTAGGGTATGAAAAATGTTCTGTGTGGGAACCAGCAGTTAGCGTAATGGCTATGTTGCTGGACTCCCACGTAGTCGACCGCGGTTCGTGTCCCGGACCTGGTGGCTTAAAACTCATGCCGGGCGCGTGTGCATGCGTGTCCAAGATCCCGAGAGGAGAATGGAGGAGAAGGGATTGCGGCGTGACCATCCCCCCTGGGGGGTGATTTCTCGCTTTCTGTCTCTAAGTCTCTCTCTGTCTGTCTGGCGAGCGCACGCGCCCTACAGTGAAAAGTGAAAATCTCTCCAAAAAAAAAAAAAATGTTCTGTGTGATGTGCAAGAAGTATAAACCCAAAAGGAAAATACTGGATAACTTGCTTCGTCCAAGTGAAAACCTGCTTCTCAAAGATAACGTGAAGCCAACGTTAAACTAAACTATTCCGGCCTAAAGCGGTTGCTGCAGTCCTGCCTTGGATTCCTGTGGAAAGGCGAATATTGCACAAGTGAGGCTGTTTTCCTTGAACTGGTGCCTAAGTTACAGCCAATCACACTAGCCCCACTTGAGTCAGCCACAGAAAGCCCACCTTTTAGGCTGTTTGTGCAGCCTCCCCTCCTCCCTCACCTCCATTTTTCTACAACACTTTGGCTTTTACTGCACGTGTCACATCCCATTCCACTGACGTATCCACCTCGTAAACCACCTGGCTAGCTGTAGTCTCTTGGAAGTCATCTTCTGGGATTCTGCCTGGTTTAAATCGTCTGCTCTTTGCTTAAATAAATTCTGTTAAATTTCAGTTTGTCTTAATTTTGTATTTAACACCAACAAACTAGAAATGATATTTGGAACACACATAACTAAAAGTACCTACGAAGAATTTCTACAAATTCATAAGAAAAGCACATTCAAAGAAAATGGACAAACAAGGAACAACAATTGGTATAATGACTATGTCTCTGGACTCCCATATAGTTGACCACAGTTCCAGTCCAGGACCCGGTGGCTTAAACTCATGCCAGGCATGTGTGCATGCAGGCCCAAGATCCCGAGAGAAGAATGGAGAAGAAGGGATTGCGGCGTGGCCATCCCCCCAGGGGAGGGATGAATTCTTGCTTTCTGTCTCTTTTTTGCTAACGCAGTTGTTTTTAAGGAAAAACCTTAAAAAAAAAAAAAAAAAAAAAAAAAGGACAAATAGCTAGAATAGGCAATTCACGAAGAAGTCCAAATGATCAATAGGCCTGCCAATCATGTCATGAGTGATCAGAGAAATCAAGGGAAGCAATGAGATGCCATTCCACACTCATTAACTCGGAGAAGTTTAGACAGTCATAAGATTCAGAGGAGTGGGTGCTGGTGGGAGCAGATGCTGGCGTGGGTACATTGGAAATCATTTAGAACTCCTTGGTAGAGTTGATTAAGAACATGTAGCAGGGACCAGCAAATGGTGTAGTGGTTATGTTGTTTGGCTCCCACGTAGTCGACCATGGTTCAGGTCCTGGACCTGGCAGCTTAAAACTCATGCCGGGTGGATGTGTGTGTGCCCAAAATCCCAAGAGGAGACCAGAGGAGAAGGGATTGTGGAGTGGCCATCCCCTCTGGGGGATTATTTCTTGCCTCTGTCTCTTTGTCTCTCTCTGTCTCTCCAGCGAGTACACATGCCTTATAGCAAAAATCTCTCTCTCTAAAAAAAAAAAAAAAAAGAACATGCAGCAAAACCTAGCAATTTCTCTGCTAGAACTGTATGAGCAAGTTTTAACATATACAGTGTATATGTTCAAGGATATTCGTAACATCATAGCAAATTTTAAAAGAAGAGAAGGAGAAAAGGAAGAGTAAGAATAAGAGAAAAAAAAGAAGAGAAGGAAGAAAAAGGACAACAAAAGGAAACTAAAGACCATGTACATCCGCATGCGTGTGTGTATCCAAAATCTCAAGAGTCGGACGGCGGACTGTGCAGTATGGCCATCCCCTCAGGGAGCTGTTTCTCACTTTCCCTCTGTCTCTCTTGTTCGCCTTCTTTCAGGTGAGTACATGTGCTCTATAGCAAATTATTAAAACAAAACAAAATAATGAAGGGAGGGAGGGAAGAAAAGGAAGCGTTTTTTCTGGGGGAAAAGGGAATAAAGTTTATCTCAAGGTCAGAAGTAATGTAAGTTACTTAAGGGGAGAGAGAGATGGGGACACAGGTAGGCTTAAGTGCTTATTGATGAAAACACAATTCAGGATGATCTCAACCCCAAGAAGACTGTGAGCAAGCCATGCCACAATTCCTTCTCCTTCATTATCCTCCTGGGATTTGGGGCACACATGCACACATGCCTGGTGTGATTTTCAGGCCACCAGAACTAGGACTCAAACTGCTGTCAGCCATGTGCAAGTCCAGAGCCTTAACCACTGCACCACTTTTGGCCCCAACATGATGAATCTTAAAAATATAATGAAAAAAAAAAGCTAAAAAATATGCCCTTTTGCCATCTGTGTGTGTATGCATACTTGGCAAAGCCCTTAAAACAAGGAAATGGTGAACATAAAATTCAGGATTTTGATCCCTTGAGGATAGAAACGAAAGTACTTAAGAAAGGGGTTAAAGGTCTATAAATATTAACAATGTTCTATCACCAAGGCTGGAATGTGGGTGTCTTAGTCCATGATTGTGATCTGAGATTGGGTGATTTATAAAGAAGAGAGATTTAGAGCCAGCTCTACAGCCTAGTGCTTAAGAGAGATGAATTCCACACGGCTGGCTGTGGTTCAGGTCCCAAATGGAGACTTGAAAGCAAGCCAGGTGAATGTGTGTGTGTCCCAAATCATGACAGAATGGAGAGAAGGGATTGTGGTGTGACCACACTCTATTAGGAAGTACCTTTTCCCTCTCTTGCTCTCTGTCTCTCCTTCTGGAGAGGGAGTACACACACGCAGTGGCAATTTAAAGAAAAGAATAGAGGTTTATTCTTATCATGCCGGCTCTGCCTCCCCCAGGTTCTCTGAGGCCGATTCACCCAGAGGACAGCACTGAGCATGCCCAGGAGCAGGGGCAACTTCAGGAAGACCAGGAGCAGGAAGTGGATACTGCTGACCAGGGACCTATGGGGGGAAACAGGGACAGTGAGACACCTCCCCCGGGGATCCCTTCTGGTCCCTCCACTTTCCC